GTCAGAGGGAGAAGCAGACTCCCTGCCGAGCAGGGAGCCCAATGCGGGACTCGATCCCGGGACTCCGGGATCATGACCCAAGCCGAAGGCAGTCGCTTAACCGACTGAGCCACCCAGGCGCCCTCAAATAGATTCTTTTGGGGTAGTTCATCTTTCTTCTGGGTGGTGTTGGACGGTTGAGGCACTGGTCTGAACAGGGCCTGGGAAAACCAGGCGGGACTGTGTATTTTAACCAAAGAGCCCTAGACAAGGAGTTAGAAGGCTGGAGTTCCATTCTCATCTCTGTCACTGATCTAGGTAGGTGAGCTCAGGCAAGTCTCAATTCCTCCACCAGAGCTGGAGTACACTGCTCAGGTACCTTTCCACATCGTTACTAGATGAAAGATTTCTTCAGAGGTTCTCAATGTGTTCAAATAGTTTGATTCTACTTGTGTGTAAGGGATTCTCAAGTTCAGGCTGCAGAAAAAAAGGACGCACCCGAGGGCGTGTTGAACACCCTTCTCTGCAAGACTCCTCAGGCTTTTCCCCCCGCCCACTCTCTCCACTATGTCATCACATTTCCCATAACTCCCACAGGCCAACAGGGCAGCAGGTAGATCTCAGGACTCTTTCAGCCCTGTGTCCTTGTAGCTGAACTTAGTGGGGGCTTAACAAACGTTTGTTGAAGGAAGGAAAGAAAAAATTTCCTTCCTGATAAATTGAGCCATTTTCAAATAAATAATCACCCAATGAACGAATGAGCAGTTATTTATAATCTTGTCCACCAAGAAATCATTAATCCTTGTTTCTCCCCCCAGAGCCTAACTGCTAAAGAAATGCCTTTCCTAAGATAATGATCAGAAAGTGAAACTTAGAAACTGTTTTCAAATTGTCCTACTGATAACTTGTGGAAGTAAAAGCAACTGCTAAAATTGGACATGCAACAGTGGATTGTTTTACTTCAAAAAATAGTAACATTTATAGACTTTTAATTACTCTGAAAGTAGGAAAAAACACAACTTTTCAAACATCAGTTATCTGCCCTTCTAGCAAGCAACATGGCGTCAGAGGAAGCAGAATATAAAATGCTGGCAGGCAGCGAACCAGCACAAGGCGCTCCAGAGTCTGGTTCTGGCTCCACGGTTAGCACCTCATGACACTAGATAGGTCTCCTTGAGGCTTGACAGTTTGGGACATAATAGCCTCTAAAGCACCTTCCAAATTTAAAGGTTCATATTTATGAGTCATTCATTACTTGCCATGACCTTAAGCTAAAGATGCCTGTGTTTTTCCCCATGAAACTGGCACTCTGGTGGCTAACAGAGTGGAGAATTTGCTGAGCAGCAGAACTGCAGTGATGGTGACAAGGCCCAGGAAATTCCTGAAGCCGCCAGTGCTCCAAGCACCCTTCTTGAATTTGGAGTCTCTCTTTTGTTTTCCCTTCCTTTCCTTTAATTTGAAAGTAATATAGGACTTTTGCAAACATTTCAAACAATGCAGAGGAGAACAAAGGAAGTCTTCCGTGAATTCTTACCTGAAGCTTGACAAAAGCTAAACCCAGATGATGATGCTGTCGTGGTGGTGGCTGAGGTGCCACCAAACACAGAGCCTCCCTGCCCAAAGCCGGGACCCTGCCCAAACGCAGGAGGGTTGCTTTGGCCAAACAGCACCCCTCCTGTGCTGGCAGAAGACTGTCCGAATGAGAAGGCGCTGGAGCTACTGGCGCTCGAAGAGGCACCAAAGACGTTCCCACTGGCAGACGTGGAGGTGGAGGACACGGGCTGCCCAAAAGCAGGCACAGAGCTGAACCCAGGCTGACTGAAGGAAAAGCCGCTCGTGGGGCTGCTTGTTGACTGCCCAAAGGCCGGGGCCTGCCCAAACGACGCCTGTCCAAAGACCCCGGGGGCCGAGGTGCCGAAGGCGGGGCTGCCGAAGCCCGAGCTGCTGACCGGCGGCGTGGCGGCCGCCGAGCTGGCTATGCTGCCCGTCTGCTGCGCAAACAGGCTCGGTGCGGTGCTGGCCGCCACCTGCCCAAACATGGGGGCAGCCGAGGGGGCGGTGGCCGTGCTGCTGGGGAGCTGACTGAAAGCTGAGCTAGAGCTAGCAGCAGGTGGCTGAGCGAAGACAGAGGAGCCCGAAGTGGCGGTCCCAAACGCCACCGTCTCCGTCGCCAGGCTCGGAGCAACGCTGGCAACAGAACTGGAGGTCGTGGGGGGACCTGGGGTTTCAAGGGCCACGGGGACCGTGCCTGGGGTCGTCGCTGCCGTGACAGCGGGCTGCCCGGGCGCCGAGAGCGTGGAAGCAGGAGCTGCCGGCTCCGTCTTGACATCAGGGACCGCGGGGGCTGCTGGAGTGGCCTCTGCACCGGGTGCCACGAGACTGGAACTGGACGCGGCAGGGCCGGCGCTGCTAACCGCAGGCTGCGCGAGGGCAGCTTCTTTCTTCCCGGAGTCAGAAGTCTGCAGAGGAGCTGGGGGAAGCGGGGCTGACTGGTGCTGCCCCAGGAGTGAGGCTGTTGATGCTGAGGCCTCACTGCTGTCTGGCTTCTCAGGCGAAGCTGAGGACGTGGCCTCCTCTGTGCTTTTACCAGAGGACATAGGCAGGGTGGGAGCGGATGCTGAACTCAGGAGGCTACCAAATGACAAGGTGGGGAACGAGGTAGGAAGGGGAGCGGCAGTTGTCGCCGACGGAGGGGCGGATGGGGGTACTGTACTACTCGTCTGTTGGCTTCCAAAGGAAAAACTCGTCTTGCTACCACTTGGGGCCATCCCACTGAAACCGATCACCCCGGAGGATCCCGCGCTGGGGAGGGGCAGACTGCCAAAGATGCCAGGCGAGGAAGTGCTAGCGCTTGGGCTCACTGCTGCCGGTGCCCCTGTGGAGGCGGTCACAGAGGAGGTCACAGGGGGCTCTGCGTGCTTCCCTAACACGGGAGGCCCAGTAAAACTAAACCCCGAGGGGACGGTTGAAGTCTTGGTCGGCTGTGCACTAGTCAGGCTTGTGGATGAAGCCTTAATGGCTGGCTTTGTGGAATCATCTGCTTGGCCGACGCGCAGTCCCGAGAAACTTCCCAGGGTCTCTCCGGCCAAAGAACCTGGAAACAGAAGCTCTCCCAACTTGGATGGTGGAGTTTCCAGCTTGCTAGAGGAGTTAGAAAGAGCAATTCCAGAAGGTGCTGCGGGTCGGCTGCTGGAAGGCGCAGGCTCGGCAGGAGAGGCTCCGGCGCTGGGTGGCGCTGTCATCCCCGACAGGGGCGAGCTCTCAGCCACAGGCTCGTAAAAGGGTTTGCCTCCCCCGCCAAATGAGAACGCGTCGAGCTGCTGTGACTCTTTAGCGGGGGGTGCTGTCCCTAGCGAGAGAAAGAAATTAGAAAGTGGGTTGGATTTAGTGACACATGACCCGTCACATTCTCACGGACTGTGTCCAAGCCCAGGTCTCTCTCCCTTTGACACGGTTGGGACGGCTATTCCATGACAGTGCCTTTCCTCGGGGAAACAGAGTGAATGAATGCTCTTCCACAGGAGGGCTAGCTCTGAGCTCACAGAGGTGAGAAGAATAAACATCCTTTTTATGACCGCTCCGTCGTAACAAATACACCATCCTATCTAGAAGGCATGAAATTCACAGTGTTACCCCAGAAGAGAAGTAAGACGGCATCTTCTCTCATTTTCCCGTGTGTGCTTCCTCAATAACAATCCTGACACTGTGCTCGTCTATGGACCTCCTGGTATGCCAGGACTTGATCCAAAATGGAAGCTCCTCCTGTGTCTTTCCACTATCTGTGTCAGTCCACAGACTATTATTTTTATGTACCACAGACTATTGTTTTTATGTACAATGAAGGGCTACGTCCTAGTGCTCACCTCAGTAAGCAGCTCTATAGAGGGCAACATGGACTCGTGGTCAAGGACATGGGCTCTGGAGCCGGGTACTCTGCCACTTGCTGGCTGTGCAACTCTGAAAAAGTTACTTTACCTCTCTGGGCCTCAGGTTCCCCATTTGGAAAATAAACACAGTAACAGTAGCCACCTCAAAGAGCTGTTATAAAGATTAAATGAAATCTAGGTGAAGCCCTGATAAGGCCTGGTCAAACAGTAAGCGGTCAACAAATAAAAGTAACCAAAATTGGATAGTTATAGGTAAAATTAACCTATTATAGTGTTTATGGATATTTCTAACTCCACATTGTTCTTGGGAAGGCTATAAAGCCCCAACTTCCCATGTACAATTTCCTGAAAGACCCTGTTGTATCACTGCTGTTGTACTGAGTTGCTTATGGTTTTGGGTTGTTTCTATTCTCGTATTAACTAAAATGTTTATGAAATTACCCCTGCATTTTATGACTATTTTACTTATGACTTCTGACAGTTATTATTTTACTCCTCTTAATCTTTTTATATCACTGAGTTGTTTCTCCTCTAGAAAGGGGGATGGGGAAGAGATGGGCCTCGAGGGTACTCTGCCCTATCTAAGTGGGCAAAGGTTACAAAAACAGTTCAAGAATTATTATTCTAGAAAGAAAGGAAGAAAACTACCAACCCTTTAAGTGCCACACACAAATCAGGTTTAGGAAGTCTGCCATGCTTTCAGCCCCCTAATTTCCCTCCAGATCTTAAGGGATCCCCTTTTTTACTAAAGCCTCTACCACTTGCGTTGGCACAGAGAAAGGACTCAAAAAATATTTGTTGAATGAACAGATGAAAGATGGTCAATGTCTTATTTATCATAGGGAACATCTGGAAATAACCTAAATGTCCAACAGGTAAATGGGTTAAATAGTTCAAGGCATATATACAAGATAGAAATTATGTAGCCACTACAAATAACATTTATGTAAAATTTCCAGTAATACTGGAAAAGTCATAAGAGATGGTGTTAAATGAGATAAAGTAGAAGACAAAACACCCGGAAGGACATATAACAGAAATGCAGTAACTGAGGGGTACAACGCGTGATTCTAGAATACATCACTTTCATAATAAGAGCTTGCTTTTTAAAATGAAAGAAAAATAAACTTAATTACTTAAACTGAGAACTGGAAGGCACTTAAAAAATACATGTGGTTTCTTTACAGGTCCCTAAATTCTTTTCAACATTAAAAACATGCCAGTTGATGGACACATAACAACACACAGAGGACCAGTGTGTTTGCCAACTTTTACAGATAAGAAGATGGAGCGAGACATTTTAATTCCCATGTTAACATCCACATCTTTGAAAAGTACAGCCTTGCTTTTCCAGAAGCAAATCCTTTCCTTGTTCTTAATTTAAAAAGTCAACAGATGTCCTCCCGTTTAATTTAAATCCAGCTTATTTTGAATGCACAACCTCGACACCGAACTTACTGCAGATGCTTTAAGCAAGACTCAGAGGCAAGGAAAATGTCGACGCATCTGTACGAAAACCCAGCATTTGTTTAGAGGAAACACAAAAGGATGGCTGCGCCCGCAGAGAGAAACTGTACCTTGTGTGGCAGTGACGTTAGAAGACGGGGTTGGTGTGATTATCCCAAAATTAAAGCCAGTCCTAGGGAGCGCAAGAAGAGAAGTTAAACACCTGGGGCACAATACTGCCCTTTCAATGTCACATTTTATGACTTACACGACCGATCTGCTCGTAGGAACTTACAACTGAGAAGATAAATGACAGCAGGGTGAAAGCATGGATCTCAGAGGTAGTAAAGGGCTCAGAGGGACGGCCGGGCTTTCCACGGCAGAGTCTGGTGGGTGAGGCCCTGCGCCAAGGCCAGCTAAGGAGCAGTCGTGGAAATGCAATGGGAATGTGCATGTGGGCACGGTGGCGAGGGCAGATGGCGTGTCTCGTGATGGAGGCAAGGGAGCCAGGCCAGGGAGAACCCCTCATAACCCACCCCAAGATCAGAGAGCTCGTCAGGAGCATGCCACACTGCCAGGGAGCAGGGAGGAAAGCATGAAACAGAAGCCACCATCCCTGCTGTTTGGACAGAACTCTTAGTTCTCGGCTGGGAAAATTTGGTTCAAACCATTTCCGGACTCTTTTATCAACCCCTCTCTCCTATTGTAGATTTTCTTTAAACTGTGAGTTAAGACACCACAACCAAAGGAGAAAATTCAGTGCGTGCGTGAACCAGAAGAGACTATTCACTGTGATAAAAGTTCAAATAGCAAATTTAAAACCACAGTTTTAAAACATAAAGGGCCAAAAAAAAAACAACAAAAAAAACCCCATAAAGGGCCAAGCATATCAAATATAGTATTGTAAGGATTTAGGTTTTTCTTACCCATCACTGCCTTCCTTGAATGGACAAAGAGCATCTAAGAGGATGTGTTAAACATTTTATCATATTTTTAAAAAAATCCTTTCTTTGTCTCAAGCTTGGTGAAGAAATTTTCTCTAATAGAGGTAAGCCATTGACCTAGTGACCCAAACTTTTCACCTTATCTTAAAAATGGGAAGAAGAATATCCGTTTACAGAAGTGAAGATTATTAGCCTTTGTGAAGGTAGCAATAACTCCTGGCACTGACCTGCTCTTTAAGATTGGCTCCAAACTATCTTTGAGAAGTATAAAACACAATGATTTACACTAAAGAAAAAATATTTAACTTCCCCCCCCCAAATTCTATTCTAACCCCCCCTTTGCTCTTAACGTGTTAGGTTGAACGACTCTTAGGAAACACATTCGCATCAGGGGAGAGACTGTGGTTAATGTGATTCCAGTCACAAAAGCATGAAATGCAAGAGCTCCAGAAGCTTTCCTAATGGAACTGAACATGCAACCCTTCAACGGCAAAAAAAATCTTTGGATAGGTTTTTATCTCTACTCCACAGAGCCTAGCTCCCTGCTGAAGGCCCCTTCCCCAGGGCTCCACACAAGGTTCCCCAGCACAGAGAAGAGGTACTGTCCCTCTGAGGTTAATCAAGGCTCCCGTGGAAAGAAGTTAGAAGACTCTTTCATTTTTAAAAATGACTCAACTTCACAAGTACAGCCATCATTACTTTTAGAAAAATGAAACAGGAACACTTGCCCATATCTATGTAAGACCCAGATTTCCCAATGGCTACTGTTTTTCATCACCTTGTCTCAGTTTAATGTAGTGACCTCTCAAACAGTAAAGCCAATCCAAACATTACACCTAGCCCCCAAATGGTGTGAGAATGCAAATATGTCAGGGTGATAAGCTAGAAGACCAAGCACAGAATCTGACACAGACCTACTACCCAAAGAAAAGGAGGCTTATCCTAAAAAACAAAACAAAGAAATATAGTAACACACGTATAAACTTGAACTGAAAAGGGGAAATACAGCTGGCCCTTGAACAATGCAGGGGTAGGGGCACCCACCCCCATGCAGTGGAAAATCTGTGTATAACTTTTGACTCCCCAAAACTTTACTAATAGCCTATTGCTGACGGGAAGCCTTACTGAGAACATCAACAGGTGATGAACACATATTATATGCATTATATCCTGTACCTTACAATACAGTAAGCCAGAGAAAAAAATATTAAGAAAATCAAAAGAGAAAAGGTATCTATGATACCGTACTGCATTTATTGGCAAAAAAACCTGCATACAAGTGGGCCTGTGCCATTCAAACCCATATTGCTCAAGGGTCAGCTGTAGATTTACATTAGAGCAATAAGCTACTATCATCAGATGCATTATTGAAGTGATAAGAACTCCGGGTTCATATACAGTTAGTAAGCAGACAAATATACCTCTGACTGTAAGACTGGGGGAAGCTATCTATAAGGTTGCTGGCGATCTGCCACGAAATTTAAGTTCATTACTGACCCTGCCGGAGAAAATGAGAAAGACTTGCTGAGCTGCCCAGCAGCAGGCGGGGGAGAAGTCACAGCTGTTTCTATCTTGGCTGCCCCTGGCCCTGAAATCGTGGGAAAGAAAATAAGAACATTACAAAAAGCTGTTAGAAACACCGTTCCAGTTTGTGATTCCGCACAGCCCCAGCCACACGATGCCACATAAAGGAGCAGAGCCCCAGCCTGCGGGCCCCACCGTGCTCTCCCGACGGGCCAGGTCAGGGGCCAGGGGAGCGGGTGCATTCCAAACTCGTGTGCAAGGCCTCTGAACTTGCTCATTGGCTCTGTCAGTGTTAATTCCAAACCAACACATGCCCCACCCTCCTTTCCACAAAAGCTATCAAAATGATTCCAGTGCAGTTTAAATTGAAACCTTTGAAAGTAGTTTTATAATTTTATAAGACATAATTTACAATGAAGTTTTGTAATTATGGAAAAGTAATATATACTGAAGGAAAAAAAATCCAAAGAGAAATAGGGTAATATGTGAAACATCTCTTCAGTAGTGACTTCACAGCCATTTGCTTTCTCCCTACATTCCTAGATTTCTCATAGAGAATAGTTTTGTATTTAACAAATAGCTTTCTTTTTCATTACCGAAGTATTACATGATTGCTGTAATGCAGAGAAGCGCAGAATGCTAAAAGTGTAATCCAACCTCTTCCCCACGTTCAATTTCACCGTAAGTACTCAGAGTATGAACAGTTCGGGGTATTACCTTCAATCTCCCGCCTATTGCTCTACTTTAAAAAAGGGAGGGAGAGGAAACACTTTATCTAAAAAGCCCAAACTGGGGCACCTGGGTGGCTCAGTCTGTTAAGCGTCTGACTCTTGATCTCAGTCAGCTCAGGTCTTGATATTGGGTTCCTGAGTTCAAGCCCCAGGTTGGGCCCCACGCCCAGCGTGGCACCTACTTTAAAAAAAAAAAAAAAAAAGCCCAAACCAAATCAAACGTAAGGAAAAGTACATTCTCTTCAAATGAGTCCAAGGTAGATATTAGTAAAATTATTTTAAAAACTACTATAATGTAATGTGCTGTGTATTAAGGATATTCAACGCAACCTTGCTTATAATCTTGAAAAAGCAGAAACAATCTAAACTATCAGCACAGTACTGGAAGAACTTAACAGGGCGCAAGTCTTAGGCTACAGCTGACACAAGTGAGGTGGAGCTGTGTCAGATCTGGAAACGTGAACCGAATATTTACTGCAATAGGGGGAGGGTTAACATATACAGGATATGTCCATTTTTGTTTGAAAAACAACAACGAAGTAACCTTCAAGATATACAAATTAAAGCATTAAGGGTTGTTATTTCTGGAATACAAATTTAATGGGCAGCTTTCACTTTCTACATTATATCTCTTTGGTGTAAATTTTTTTGAGCATCTATAATAGTTTTATAATCAGAAAAAACAATGAAGGTATTTCCATTCTTAAAGAACTATAGAGGTTTCAGAAAAAATTTTTAAAGAAACTTTTTGTAAACTTCTAAATAGTATTTTTCAGGGAAATTTTTCTGCCTCCAAAAGTCCTTTTCCTTTGATTATCCAGCAAGTGAAAACAGAAGTAAATGTCCAGCAATGAAAGACAGTATTTCACAATCACTGCTCCGTGATAAATCTTAGAAATGTCTGGGCAAGTCACGCTAACTGTGTAAGATGTATGTGAAGCAAAGTTTCTTAGATTTCCTTGGTTCTTAAGTTCAGGAGTGACAAAAAGCCCTTCAAAGCAGTCCTTGAAAGAAGTTGGGATACAGGGTCTTTCAAAAACTTTCTAAAACGTGAGCCAGAAATGGAAACAAACTTCTTAATTTGATACCTAAATGATTCAGAAGTCTTTGGCAACCCTGCTAAATTTTTCCTTCAGTAAACTTTAGATCCCAGTCCAGAAGTGCTCCATACCTCCTTCTCAAGGAGAGCGTCCACGGCGACAACGGTGGCTCTGCACTCAGCCATATTCTAGAATACACCTGTAGCGTATACGCTAATGGTTTGCTTGAGTGCAATGATAAACCCGGTATCTAGTCAGACAGCTTCTGAGTACAGAGAAAGTTAGAATGACGGTATGGCTGAGCAGAGATGATGGGAAGTGGGCTGCTGATGTGGGGGGTTTCAGTCTCCAACAGAATCTGCCTGGAGACCCACTTGAGAGCATGAATGAAAACAAAGCTGGAGTCCCAAGTGTGGTGAAAACTCAAGAGCTGTGGGCGGCACAAGACCCCCAAAGCAGAAAGTAACACATGCCAAATTAGAGGTTATAAAAAGGTGCCCACAGAAGGAGATGCTAAGGATCAACATCAGGTTATACATAACCTTGTGCTTCAAGGTGGTTTGGGCAACGTGGACCTCTTGGTCAAAGCACCAATGGTGACTACAAAAACTACAAATTTTAGTTAAGAATAACTAAGCTTGAGTGGGTACTGGGAAGTACATGAGGTCATAAAATCTGATATTGACATGACATCTACTCTGACATCTTATATTACAACACATCTGTTTTACCTATTGCATTTTACCAGCTTTGAATTACCACTGTGAGCCAAGAGGATTTTTCATCCCTTTTAGTAGAAGAATACAGTTCGTGTTCCATTCCCCTCCCCTCTTGACTTTCCAGCAAGGCTAGTGAAGACAACACTATTGCTCCTTCTCAGGAAAAGCATTTCCAGGAAGATTTTTCTCCTACTGTGCTCAAATTTCAGAAGTCTGCAGAGCTGACGAAGGGCTCACTGATTTCCTGGAGATTCTTCATTGACTGAGGCCTTCCAAAGATCTCTTTATTTGATTTCCTATGTCAACTGCCTCTGTGATCTAGAACGCTGAACTGCTATGGGGGGTTTCTTTCACCTCTAGCTTCACTAAAGCAAAAACGCAAACTGACCTGAAGCTTTATCACCAGATGACAACTGACCAGACACTGGCGTGGGCCCCGGAGGCTTTAGGGAATTTATTAGAGATCCCTGTAACAGAACACAAGCAGAACATTTATGTGAAACCACTAACCATCCTTTAGAAAAAAGAAACATGTAAAAGGAGAACATCATTTAAAAGTAAGCAAGCATTAATACTTTTATTTAGCTTAATTTTAAAAATCCTTACAATTTGAGTATTTTTATTTTTTTAAAAGATTTTATTTATTTATTTGACAGAGAGACACAGCGAGAGAGGGAACACAAGCAGGGGGAGTGGGAGAGGGAGAAGCAGGCAGGAAGAGGGAGAAGCAGGCTTCCCACCAAGCAGGAGCCCAATGCAGGGCTCGATCCCAGGACCCTGGGATCACGACCTGAGCCGAAGGCAGACGCTTAACGACTGAGCCACCCAGGCGCCCCTAAGTGAGTATTTTTAAATGCCTGCTATAAGAGCGTATTGGAGGATGGAAATGGGAATACCTGCAAGCTCCAAGAATGCAGTCTTGCCTATGTGGCTACTTTCCCAGTGCCCAGCACAGTGCCTAGCACACAAGAAGCACTGGATTATCAGGTAGGTGAGTAAGTGAATGAATGAAATGGGTGCTGGATCACAATAAATTTATAATAAAATAAAAAGCAAAACTGTTTACCTTCTCCATCTCTGGGCAATGTTCCTTTACTCATTTGTTATGACTTAGGCCTACCCAGGTGTCCTCCAAGGCCAAAATGGAACCCTCCAGAAGCATGACCAGATGCTAAATGCTTAAATGCCATTTTAAGTCACGGCAAACTAAGGCTCAGAGCCATGCTGAGAACTCAAAATAGGCAAATTCTGATGTTCAATCTCAGACACAATCTGAAATGACTCATCTCAGAGACATGGAGAGTAGAAGAGAAACCAGGTCTTCTTAGGGAAGATTTCAGAGATAGCTTAATCTACCTTTCAGCCATCTCTGATTATTCTTTTCTGGATTGTTTAACTGTTTACAATGTACCCTATATTTGTAAGAAAAAATGTTTATCAGGCAAAAGCCTAAATGTAGACATAACGAACATTACTGAATATGCAATCTCTGAACAACAGACATTGTAGGAGGAAGCCAGAGAAGCTGATCCCCAGGCACTGATCCTGAAAGGTGGCAGTGTAAAAACCACAGATGGGAAGAAGGTACGAGAGCTGGACTCCAGCTCTGGTTCCAGCATTTACTGATCATGTGAGCTTGCATCAGTCACTTGCACCTCAGCTTTCCTTCATCAATGAAACACATTTAAATACATGCCCCGTTCTACTGCACATGGTTGTCGTATGGGTTAACGAAGATCATGTTAAGTGAAGGTAAATTAGAAACCCAAATAACCCTTACAATGGTAAGGTATTAGAATTTTGACCCAAGATGACTAGGTGCAGAATGTCAAATGGCACAAGAAGACAACGTCAGGTCCCGACTGACCTACTGTGTCAAGACCGGCATAAATTACAGGGAAAGGATCACAGGTCTTTGTCGGACTTATAGTTTGTTTAAACAAAGTCAGGACTTAAAACAGTACCGTCTTCAGTTTCAAAGACAGACACTGCAAGGCTGTTCAAAAAAGCAAAAATCAGTAAGTCACCTGCTTAGCCTGGTTAGCAGCTGCTGGGGTCATTGCAGGGTGAGGTGTCTTGGCTGCAGAGTATGGCACCGAAGAACTGAAAAAAAAAAAAAAAATGCTCAAGAAAAAGACATGTGGGTGGAGATCGCATTCATCTTTGAGCCTACCTTCTATCCAATAAATGATACCAATTTTGAGTAGAATATGCCAGGGACCCTAACAAAAGTCATGTGACACTTTTCTGAAGAATAAATTCTTTAAATGAAATTTGAGTCTTCAGCATAAAAGTCAAAGCAGTGAGCTTAAAACTTTTTTTTCTTCCTGAAATCCTAAGAAAAAATGTTAAAACTATTCAGAAGTAGAGCTTTTTCTTATCTGGAGAGTCAGCCTTCTTTATCCTCTCCCCGCCCCCCCATCCTAGTTCTAGACTCTGTGGGGCATGCCTGATTCTCTTCTCCAAGCCTGAGAAAACGTTCGACAGGATCCATGGGATGTATGGGAGCTGCTGCGATAAACAGCTCCAAGGTGTTACTCAAGGAGGAGACTGCAACCACCCCCTCGAGCCCAGTGCCCCCCAGGCCAGCACACAAGATAATCAAATGCACCGCTTGACCATAGAGCCTGCACCTTCGCTGCAGTCTGAGAAGTCTATCCACTATTTGTAGAAATGAGATCTTTTGTTAACCCTGAACGCAGTATGCAGTGAATTGTTTAGTAATTATTTAGTGTTCAAGTATGAGGGAACAGACCCACTTGCTTAATGCAATCATGGATAAAAGCTCTATTCTCGGTTCCTGGGAGCAATTTATGTATCTGTCCTCAGTCCAAAGCTACCTTGACTGTTAAGTATAGCAGTAGTAGCTGTAGGATCCAGTTTTATTTTTCAGAATTCCCCCTAGAGTAGGGAGGATTGCCATTTTTCCATCAAAAAATTAACTTGGAAGAGGAAAGACAAAAATAAGTCCATGCCTCATAGAAGAAAATTATCAAACGATTTAACGATCTTATAAGCTCCTCACGATTCTCTGCTGGATTAACACAGGAGCCTTCCCAAACTTTATGAGATGGAGAGACAAGAAAAAATGGGTTGTTTTCAATGAAACAACCCCCCTTTGCTTTTCCAGGAAGACAGAAGAAGCTATAAACGTGTTCTCTGAAGAAACACATCTCTGCTCCCCTGAGATGTTCCACCACAGAGAGAAGGAATGTGGGAGCGGGGTTGCTGGGGCTGAGAAAGCCCCGGGCAGACACAGCAGACCTGGGTAAAGATGTGGTTTGAGCTCATAAAAATCAAAAGGGAGGGGCGCCTGGGTGGCTCAGTCGTTAAGCGTCTGCCTTTGGCTCAGGTCATGAACCCAGGGGCCTGGGATCGAGCCCCGCATTGGGCTCCCTGTTCAGCGGGAAGACTGCTTCTCGCTCTCCCACTCCCCCTGCTTGTGTTCCCTCTCTCGCTGTGTCTCTCTCTGTCAAATAAATAAATAAAATCTTTAAAAAAAAAAATCACAAGGGAAATGAAAATCTTTCATGCTTTCCCAAAGACAAACAAAAAAGAAATTATAAGTAAAAATAAGAGCAGCAATTTATCCAACCTTTGAATATTTTTTATACCCAAAACTTAGTCATGGCGTGATGGTAAATTAAACCATGCACAAAATAGGCTGAGTACAATTATTATTCTCGTTGCTTGTGATAATGCTACAAAATCTGTTGGGTGTCCTAAATCCCCAAACACACAACATTAGGAATTCCCAGCACCTCCACACGGGGCCACATGACAGCCCTGCAGAGAAATGCTGCTCAGCGCAACCGCTGACAAAACCAATCGACTAGTTGGGATCGGCCGTGATCCCAGAGAGCCACAGACGAGAAGGCATGACTGAATTCTACTTTATAGCAGTACAGGCCTGAAAGGGATGATCAGAACTTCATCTGATGTGCTCTGTTCCACACCTGGAAACACAAGTCAGAGGACTGCGAGCAGACACCGGCAATGCACCAGAACTCCAAAGAGACACCGACTGCAGGCGTCTGCAGATGACATTACATTACTGGCGACACTTGAGTGCGGCTTTAGAAATGAGTAACGGGGTTGCACAGGTCACAGAGAGTGGTCCAATTTGGTTCCTGGAGAAAAAGACTTTCAACGGAAGCTAAGTCCTCTGGCTCCCATTCCCCAGACCACTCTGATAAAAATTAAGCAACAATGCAGGTGAAAATACCAAATATCATCAACACAGGAAATGTAACCACCAGACCCCTGTCAAAGACTGCCTTGAATACAGAAGAATCACTCTGCTCTCTGTTGTTTTGTTGTTTGCCAACCCTTTCAGTGCCACCTGCCCACAGAAGCGGGCTGATGTGCCCATGTTGTTAGGGTGTGAGTTCTACACACGATTACAAAACTGAACTGTTAAGACCATGAAGCATTAAAATGTCACGTAGGCCCTTTCTTAGCGGTCCTTTAGATGTTAATGAACTTTAACAAGGTAAATGTACTGTTGTTGTGAAAGGGGCCAACTACTCATTCTTTTATCTATTTCAACATTTTTTTAAGTAAGCTCTATGCCCAACATGGGGCTCAAACTCATGACCCCAAGATCAAGAGTCGCATGCTCTACCGACCGAGCCAGCCAGATGCCTCTATTTCAACATTTTAAAGGGCTTAAAAAACAGGAAACCTGAGGGGCACCTGGGTGGCTCAGTCAGTTGAGTGTCTGCCTTAGGCTCGGGTCATGATCCCGGTGTCCTGGGATCGAGCCCCACCTTCGGCTCTCTGCTCAGCGGGGAGCCTGCTTCTCCCTCTCCCACTCCCCCCTGCTTGTGTCCCCTCTCTCTCTCTCAAATAAATAAATAAATAAAATCTTAAAAAAAAACAACCACCAAGAAACCTGGTTATGCTTTATTTTGGTAATTCTGAATCATTATCATGAGTATCCTGTTACGTATTCATCGATGACACAGCATATCTAAACTGTGAAAGCTACTCAAATGCTAACTAATGAACTAGGAATTTTTTGGTAATAGTTTAAAGAAAGGTAAGGCAAGTGAGGAGAAAGCACAACATCTCAAGAGCAACCGGAGAAACAGACAAAACAAAGATCAGGAGAGAAAAGGAAAGCAGATGACAGAAGATGTGGAAAACAAAAGCTATCAGTCCATTTTCTCACCTACCAGATGGACAGTCACCCTGAAGTCTGATAACAAATGTGACACTCTGGGCAAAGATACAGGCAAGCTTGTCATCATACACTGCTTGTGGGAAGATAAATGATACAACCTCTACAGGGGTAAATGTGGCAACAGCTGTCATAATTACATCCACGTATGTCCACAAGTACACAGATGCCTCCGTGGCCTCAGAAGTCCAGCACTGGAGAGTTTATCCTACAGATACAGCCAGCTGCAAGCATGCAAAATGATCAATGTGTCCATTTACCATAGCATCATTGGTAACGACGCGAGAGGAGTATCCCCAATGTCAATCAGTAGAGGGGGAAAAAAAAAGCTATCGGTTCATTTTTAGGAGTTTCTTATGTCTGTCAGTGGAGATTATAACTGTCAACCATTGTTCCCTATTGGTAAATTTTATGTCCTTGAAGATTCAAAATATTTTCCAAAATACCATTAAAAGTCTTCTAACCCAAACTGTGGTTCTTGCATGAATGTCCAGATGCCAAATGACTTAAATAATGTAAGTCGTAACTGCTTTAGAGCCCTGAGAAAGGCCTATATTAAATATAAAAATGGGATTGTTAAGAATTCATAACTTGGAAAATGTTCACAATCATGTTTAAGCTGAAAGAGGAGGTTACAAAGCAGCATGTATTCAAACTTTACTTTAAAAAACTAAATTTTCAGAAAATAAAGATGAATAATATGTAAATAGTGACTGAACCTTTGTGGTGGGAATAAAGGTGATTTTAATTTTGTTCTTTTTAACTATCTGCTTTTTATAATGTCTATAATGAACATTTATAATTAGGAAATATCAGGATCAAAAAAATTTTTTAAGGTTATGGTTGTTACTAAAGTTAAAGTGGGGCGGCAACCTTAAGTCAGTGAAAGAAAAAACTGTCAACCTAGAATTCTTGGTGAAAATATTCGAAATACTTGAAGTATGATCAACAAAACATTCAAAAACAAAAGTGAAATAAAGACTTTGGCAAACACATGAAAGCTGAAAGAATTCAGATCTACACCTGAAGAAATGTTAGAGGAAGCTTCAAGCAGAAGGGAAACCATAGAAGACAGAGACATGGGACTGAACAAAGAACTGAAAGACACTGGAAATGATAAAACCATCTGGGTGAACAAAAGAGGTTTTTCTTCTTCTTTAAATCTGTTTAAAAGATAATCAACTGTTTATAACAACGTATCATGGAACTGATAACACAGGTGGAAGTAAAATGTACAATGATGAGAACAGCACAAAGGTGGGAGGGCAGGGTGCCTGGGTGGCTCAGTTGGTTAAGCGACTGCCTTCGGCTCAGGTCATGATCCTGGAGTCCCGGGATCGAGTCCCGCATCGGGCTCCCTGCTCAGCAGGGAGTCTGCTTCTCCCTCTGACCTTCCTCCTTCTCATGCTCTCTGTCTCTCATTCTCTCTCTCTCTCAAATAAATAAATAAAATCTTTAAAAAAAAAAAAAGGTGGGAGGGCAGAAATAGAAAAACACTGCTGTAAGATTCTTACATGGTATTTTTAAAAAAGATTTTATTTATTTATTAGAGAGAGCGCGCGCAAGCCCGCACGAGCAATGAGGAGGGGCAGAAGGAAAGAGAGAAGCAAACTCCCCGCTGAGTGGGGAATCACTTGGGAGACAAGACTGGGTAAGTTAAAGATGTACACTGTAAACCCTACTGCATCCACATAAATAACATACAGTGTTAACAGCTGATAAGCCAACAAGATAAAATAGAATCATAAAAAATACGCAACCCAAAAGAAGTTGCAGAAAAAGAGGAAAAATGGAACAAAGAACAGATGAGACAAGCAGAAACCAAACAGCAATATATAGATTAAAACCCAACATCATATAATCACATTAAATATAAATGGTTTAAGTACTCCAATTAAAATTCACAGATTGTCAGA